AAAAAAGCGCTTCGGCCTGAGGCAGTTAAGGCTATGTTCTGCGCATCGGGCGGGCCATAGTAGGGCATCATCAGCCAGCTTATCAACCTTCTACCTGCTTCGTTGAGTACGTAGGTGCGTCATTGAAATGTACATATGCGAGGCGAAATAAAGGTCCTAAAGGCTCTAATGGTCATACATTTTTCGATTCGGTGCAGAACTGTTCTAGTCTCTAGCACCCTCTCTAGTCAGCAACAACCGCAAGAAAACCACCATCGGCCAAATCACTTCATAGCACTGTTGACCATCAGTCCACCCCCCTTTATATATGCAGTGTGGTGAGAGTTAGTGCGAAGAAACATGGCGCGAGCGTGTGCCTGTATTTATAGGAACCTGGATAGAGAGACTATCCTCGTCCTTCTCAATCCAGTAATCCGCGCGAAGCAAAGGATATAATCAGAGCTCCTTCATATTATAGCCTACATACGCCCACACACATATACGTATATATATATATATATATATATTATCCTACTGATACGAAATTGGGCCTCGTAGAGTTTAGTCAGAACGTTTCAATTTCAAGGGTGAATATTGTAGGAGACATCTTGCAGTTGTTCAGGAAAGCGTGTTCTCATTCTATACTTTTTTCATGTCATTTTCGTTTGTGAACGGCCGACAAAATAGCCAAATTCACGGGTGTTCGCTAGGGTAAACAACGCACCTCCTCGTATAATATATATACCAGATGTTCACTAACAGCATGTTCAGGGCGTCGAACAGACGTCGCCGGAACGTGCAAGTTACCCTCAGCAAACGGATCTATTTGCAGATGATTGTTACTGCAACTGTCTGAAATCACCGTATCGTATAAAGAAATTGTAGAGGCTGTGGTCGGCTGACTGTTGGCTAAGGCTTCTTTTTAGCTACAGGTAGGGAATTTCGGTTGGAACTCTGGGCTGATCCTTTTTGACATTTTCATGACTGTACCTGCAATTCAGTCCCAATCAAATAGCGAATTGGCTGAATTGCCTATCATTGTTTTTGTTTCCTTTTGTTTTGTTTTTAATTTTTAATCAACTTTAGTTGCTCCAAACAAATACAAGTTCGCAATGTTCATTCATAATGCTTAGTGGACTCATTGATTTAATTGCTCCCTGAGCTAATTAAAATGTAGACACAAGGTTTCAGTTCTGAAAAGGTGTAAATATTAGCCTTTAAGAAATGTTTGATCCTAATAAGATGATAATGAGGACGATGATGATGATAAACGGATTTTTAAAAAATACCACAACTAACATCTACATATGAAAAAGACAATATTGGTTTCTATCTGTTGCGGCGCGATGGTGTATATAGCACGAAGATATAGAAGCTACCAAAAAACCATATTTTAGCATCTAAAATCTACCCATGACCCACTTTGAATCAGTACAAAACAGCCGGTGATTACGGAAACGACTTCAATTCGATGTCAAACAACGGATACGTAAGCAGCAAATGCCCCGAATATTATGGGTCGTTGTGATTACACGCAAAAAAATGCTTAACCTTTTCGTTATATATAGCACGATACGGCATACCGTCGTCATCAGTTGGTGCTTTGTCTGTCCATTGAACCGCACAAATCCAGCTCCATGCGATGTCAGTGCTTGCACACCATTGGATACAATTTGAATATGTACCTCCAACAAATTAGGCGTTTCGGAACACTAGCCGCCTCGGTAATCTAATCAACGTCCAAAATATACCTGCTTTGACCTCTGTTTCAGTCGTCCACTCGCCTAGCGTAGGTAGAAACACGTTGCTAGCCATAATCTCAAGGTCCTGATCAGACCTACGAAGCATAGCTCTCACATTTACTTCTTGAGGTTTCGCTATCTTGCAGTGGTTCACTACTGTTCTTGTTGTTTCAGGTTGTTCGGTCTATTCAAGCAAGCCTTTTCTAAACGGCAATGTTCCACAGTGATTTTATTAGAAACATACTATTCTAGAACGACCTATATCCGACCACGACTACATCCTACACCCGAAAGAGTTGGAAAGGTTTGCATCATGGCTCGTTCCAGAAGGCGGCAATTATAAACAGTGCCCCTTGAGAAGCCAGGCTCTGGTCTTAGCCGATTTGAGCGTCACCGTATTACACACAGTCATATTGAAGCACATGAACCGTTATTCAATCATCAATTGACCTAATAACACAGAGTAAAACTGCATGGAGTCGCCGACCATTGAAAACAACACTACACGGTCATGGTATCTATTATAGCTCGATCCTGTCGCTACGTTGCAAGGACATTTCTAGAGCTATTATTATTTCTTGACGCAAATAAAATGTAGGGATGCCTAGTTTCACTAAGTCATTTCGCAGAGCGCATGAGGCTGGTGTCCTCGATTAAGCCTTTTTTCTGAAGTACAAGTCAAGTGGATGATGAATGTGCCGTTGTGACCTGCGAATGCTCAAATGTATATGTGTGCATGTATGATGTGAAGTACTTCGCTTACACGTATATGGCAGGTATAATCAAGCAGAGGTTCTACAGATTTACATGCAACTATAGTACTTTTCGATATTGCATGATACTACTGAAAAGTAACGAATCAATTCAACTATTTAAAATCTACTTTGTAGAATGGACACTATACATAAAAATATATCTCTTTAAACCAGATGATAGGGTATTTTATGGTTACCTTATGCGTCCCTCCCACCAAGTGCTTGTACATAGGCATCTATTATATAAGTCTAGGCTGAGGCTTTATGTAGACCATAACACTTAGGGTAATTAACCTTGAGCTTTTTGGTAGATATAACAACCCCTACGAACCAGACCTTCAGCGCGATGAACGCGCTTTTCGATCAGCCTTCAATGCGCATATGATCGAACACGCAATAAGTACAGTGACGCATAGGTCCAATAAACGCAAATTTTCGTCAAATATCTATAGTATATTGGGAAAACTCGTGTCCATTAATAATCCATCGCTGGAACCTTTCCATCCCCTCAACAACGCTCAGCGACTGATACGCGTTACAACCCCACGCGATCGACATGGATAACCGCGCTAGTGATCAGTACCAACGCGTTGCGACCCCCTTCCCCCACGTACACCCGCATTGCGAAGCGAATCCCGCACGTCTATTAAGGACGCTAACAACACCACTAGTCCCATTATTAGAATAGACTATATCGTACATTCTATTGTACCGTATCGGTATATACAGGGTTTAGTGTCGTCTCCAGCGCACGAAAATGAGAAGGCAATTCAAAAAGGAATGGAAGCATCGGTAAAGGGCGAGAAAACCATTTTTATAAGACAATTTTAAGAAATTATCGGACGGAACGCACACGGTGGATGGAATCGAATACTACAAAAGATAGAAAAGTAGCGAGAGAAAGATGATGAAGCCCACGACGAAAAAGCAAAGGCATAGAAAAGGACGCTCCCGCCCATCATGGTTTACCTCAACATAGACAATAGATCAAGGGTCACCATTACCACGAACAGGTGACTTCGCAACAAAAGACGAAGAATAAAAACAGCCACTTGTTGGGATAGTATTCGGTGAAGGGTATAGAAAAAGGTACGTGCAAAAACACATACGTGCCGTGAGAGTATACTTAATTTCAATCCCCAGTAAAAGTTGAAATGAAAGTCAATGGGCTGTACATGAAAATTTTTCAGTATGTGTTAAATAAATAGAGAATGATACACGTACGCTCCTTTGAATTCGCTGAGCATTGTTGGCAGGGCTCACTGATGTTTGTTTACTATAAGCGCACATGTTGAAATTGACAGAGAGATTTATTTGTTGACTAGAGAAGATTTGAGATGTTCTTTTACGTAAAACTGTTCCTCCTGTGGCTAGTTCCGAATTATCTACAGCGCGCACTGGCAACGTCGTAACGCCGTTGGCCGGCCAAACTCTACCGAAGGAGCTGCATGTTATGCTGTTACCGTAAACGCTTGTGGCCATATTTGCTGGAGCGGACGTTAGCTGAACCTGACTGCATTCGCCTTAATATGGACGTCGTCCTTAGTGCGATAAATGTTCTATATCCGCAGGTACGTTTCGGCCGCAAAGGTCATAAGATACACAAATGATCGACGGTGCATCCAACAGTTAACCTTTTATTATTCACGAGCATCCCGTACAACAAATGATCACTACATTACAACGCTTACTAACGTTGATTTCAATTTATGTGTTATTACGAAATATTATGTTACGAAAAAAACGAAAAACCGCTTGCGGAACTCTTTAGAATTGCTGACTGATCTGGAGCCAAAGCTTCCGGAATATCTCTTCGTATCGGTGTTTCTCTTGGCGATAGCATAAGTTGTGTCTTCAAGCAAGCCAGTCGTATCGCACTAAATATTATACTTGTTTTTCTTTCATTAACGTTGATTTATTAAGCACTCAACGAATTTTTTTATTATATATAATATTATTAAATAGTAGGAAAAGTAATTTCACGAATCCAATGAATAGTTCGGAACGAGAAGGGAAGGATGCGACCGATAGATCCCATCGCTTTTACCTATAAGGTTAGTATAACGCAAGCAACATGTGTTTTTGTAGATACATCAGCCCTGTTATCATGGCGAACACCCGCAGTCGCTCGTGAGACTTATTATGACTATGCAAACTCGTTAACAGTCATTATAAACATATACACTCGAGTCACAATTGCATCATTCATCCAAGCTAGTATAAAAATAGACCTTGATTGACAAAAAAACTTACTACTTTTCGAATAGCACGACTCATACAGGCCAACAATTCGTTGGTCGAGCTAGACGGCAAATTACCTAGGTCATACGGACCTCCGTAAAGCGGGAGGCGTAAAGTTTAAACAACATCTATCTATCTTGCAATATAGAATAGTTTTCACTATAATGGTGTCTAGCCGATATTTCTTCAATTAGTTCCTGGTGGGAAATTTTTCAATGGGCTCGAATAGAAAAAGATATATAGCGCGAGCTTAGGTGCGACGTATCAAGTGTACCTGTACATGAACAATATATAAACAAATGCGTACCAAATAAAATCTTGTATTATTACTAACTGTAGAATGATCCGTACCACAAGCTTCGTCCGGCCTGACAATTGGTAGTCACTTACAGGAGACGTTTCTGTATTTCTATCGTTCTATAAGTCGTTCTACCAAGTCAGCGTATAAAAAAAAGTCTTTTTCTGCTGTTGAGTAAAATATGAGAGGAGCATATTACGTTAAAAGAACAAAGTACGTCATTCATTACTGGCGGTACAGAAAGCGTTATTCGAACTGAATAATACGTTACCTACCTGTCTATCTATCTATCTATTATTATCCTTTCTCTCTATCTATATTATTAAAAGTGCCGTGGATCTATCGGCAGTTTGCTTTGTGTACCAAACGGTTCCATCGCTGTTATCGATACGTCTCACATCAGGTCAAACCTTTTTCAGGGCACCTTCCAGCGTGCCAGGACATTTGTTCGTCGCTAGCGCCTCGCTTAACGTGCTGAAAGGGTTGAAACGTCGAGGAAGTTTTATTTTATTTATTTGACAGTTTATTGACTGATGGAGCAGTTGCCACTATCTCTGTCAAGTGACTTTCGTTTAGTCTCAATAGCAAGCTGAATACCGTTTTCACGTACACAGAGAACAGCTGGTAAGCAAAGCGTCTGAGCGTGTCGCTTCGCATGGAAGCCTCTTTAATTGCGCGCTGTTCTCCAAATTTGGGCCTTCGATTATTATTCTCTTTCAGTTGTTTTTTCGACTTCGCTCGGTTTCCCATCCTTCATAGGGTGACACTAATACTTCAGCCACAACTTCTGCTCTTCCGCTGGCCGATTTTATTTGCTATCTGCACCTTCGCCACTGGCAACAATTAATCGCAAATAAAACGGCCCTTTTCCTCTAGTTTGTTCACTTGTGTGATTATGCTGTCCCCGACCGCAGTGCGAGTGCACGTACGAGATAATTGGGTATCGATAGAAAACAAAAACCCTTTCTGCGGCAAGAGCGCTTTAGGCGTAGAAGAAAGACAATGGAAAGCGGGAACGAGTACGCTACCTAAAGAAAAGTGGGAATCATCGAAGCAACAGCAACGAGATTACGAAAAGTGCCAACACCCTGAAGCTGAAGCAGTATCAACAATGAAAGTAACTTCAGTCCAGTGTGAAAGGTTCCCGGGAGGACAGCGAAGCCCCATTTTCACGCCCAGGTTTGTTTCGGCGAAACGCGCCAAGCGGCGGGATCGCGCCACAATACTATCTGCTTGATAGCTGTCTTGCCATTCGCCAAGCAGCCCAAAGCGTCGATACAAGGAGTTGAGGAAAGGCAGCAGCCCGAAACGGAAAGATTCTTTCATAGTTTTTTAAACCTGTCGCTGTGCAGTCTTCATTGTCGTTAGCGCTGTTTGTTTTCGCATCGTATCACGTTAGCTGAGGCAGCGGAGGCAAAACCGGACGAGCAGAATCTATAGCAGTAGAACCGGACGGCGAAAAAATCTCCTATGAGATGTTAAAGTAGCAGAACAAATGCGTAGGCATAATCATGGATAAAAGTAAGGGAGGGTTCTTTAGCCAGTAAAACTAACTTCGAGTGGTATTAATATGTTTATTGTTAATATATTAGATCAAGTCTACCAGGCTGTCTGACTCAGGTTAGCGGTCAGGCAATAGACAACAGGCCGAAACAGACAGGATAGACGTCTAAAAGAAGAATCGAAATACCACCAATAACAGTGATAACCCATCAACTAGACAGCCAACAGACAATCTACGTCGGTGATGTTGAATACGAAGAAAAAGCGTTAGCCGAAGTCAGTTAGTGACCCCGGAAGATATGTCTTCCTACAAAATAAACAGAGTAAGTTGTGACAGTAGCGGAACTTTAAAGAACGCCTAAAAAATATTCAGACTCTAAAAATGCACACCAAATATAGCGCGCATGCGCAAATAAACAAAAAGAACTTCAGTTCTTTTATATATATATGTATA